AGAGAGAGAGAGAGAGAGAGAGAGAGAGAGAGAGAGAGAGAGAGAGAGATCTATAAGATCTACAATCTTGTCAGACTATGCCAGGGAACACTGGGCTTGAAAAGTCCCTTCTGGATCAGAGTGAGCAAAAGAATCAAAAGGCAGAATAGCTCAGCCTTTTGAAGGCTTTTTAAAGAAAATGCTTGGAGCAGTCACAAGGACTGAAGATAGGAAAACAGGTATCTTTTATTTGCTCTCAAATAAAATCTCTCAGAAGATTTCTGAGAAAACATTTGCCAGAGAAATTGGAAACATGGTCTCCTGGGAGACAAGGGCTGAAGAAAACCATGTTTAGCCTCATGAGAGTTGTCCACCAGCAGCTGTATGGCCAGGCAGTGGAGTCTGTTGATTTTGTTATTGTTTGTTTGTTTTGCTTTTTCATTAACTATGGTGTTTTAAGCCAATTTTCTGTTGCTGTAAAACAGAACAGAATAAGACAGCTGAGACTGAGTAATTTTCAGAGTAAAAGTTTATTTGACTTAGAGTTCTTAAGGCTTAAGAAGATGGTGCGACCAATCCCTGATACTATTAGTGATGCTATGCTGTGCTTGTAGACAGGAGCCTAGCATGGCTGTCTTCTGAGAGGTTCTATCCACCAGCTGACTGAGACAGATGCCGATACACACAGCCAAACACTGGATAGAGTTTGAGGACTTCTGTGGAAGAGTTAGAATGAGGATTGAAGGCTCTGAAGGTGATGGCAACCCCACAGGAAGACCAACATTGTCAACTTACCTGGACCCCTGGGAGCTCCCAGAGACTAAGCTACACCAAAGAGCATATGCAGGCTGGTCTGAACCCTCCCCTACCCATGCACCAACACCCCCCCAACACACACATATGCAACAGAGAACTACCTTGTCTGGCCTCAGTGGGAGAGGATGTGCCTAATCCTGAGAGACTTGATGCCCCAGAGTGGGGACATACTGGTGGGACACCCTCTTAGAGGCGAAGGGGAGTGGTTATAGGGGGAGGAACTCTGGGAGGGAGGATTGGGAAAGAGCAGCATTTGGGATGTAAATACATAAATAAATTAAAAGGAAAAACCAATCCATGAATAAAGAGATCAAAAATATAACTTATATAACTCATAATAAATAATCAAACAGGAGAAAAAAGATGATGTCATGCCATGGCATGCACTTGACCCCCACATAAATAAATAAATGTAATTTAATGAAGAGAATGGGCCATATCTGCTCAGCAGTGAAGAGGGGCTACTTGCTGAATTGTGGCATGATATCACATACCAAAAGATGAGAAAGCAGGGCTAGCTCAGGTCTCTTTTTCCCTATAGAAGCCTCTAACATCATGGTGGATGTCCTAATCACAACTTCTAATCTTTGTTGCTGCTTTTGTTGTTTTTTTAGACAAGGTTTCTCTGTGTAATAGGCCAGGCTGTTCTGGACCTAACTTTGTAGACCAGGCTGGCCTCAAACTCACAGGGATCTGCCTGCCTCTGCCTCTGAGTGCTGGGATTGAAGGGATCTACTACCACATCAAGCTACAACTTCTTTTTTTTCTTCCCCTTTTTCTTTTCTCTTTTTTATTATATATTTATTTACTTACACTCCAGATTTTATTCCCACCACCTCCATCCACTCTCTGACTGTTTCACATACCATACCTCCAACGTAACCCCTGTTCCAGCCCCCCCCACCTGGCCTCTAAACTTCCTGGGGCCTCCAGTCTTTTGAGGGTTAGGTGCATCATCTCAAGCTACAACTTCTAATCTTAATTACTTTCTAAAGAACCTACCTCCAAACCCATGTGATTTGGAGACTTAGCTTCTAGCACTTGTGCTTGCAGGAAATGATGTCAAGCTATGCACATGGGCATCCTGTTTGTAGATCTTCATTCACAGATCTCGGTGGGTTTTGCTATTTATTGCTACGATCTTTCCCCCTCTCTCTATTCCTTAGCCCCTCTCCTTCTTGCTCTCAAAGGATTTACTACATATACACTTTATTTAGAAGGCCCAAACTCAAGCAACAATAGAATAACGCCATATTTTAACTAAGTATTCTTGAATCATGGGAAAATGTAGTAAAAAAAATTAAGAATTAAAAAAAAACCTACCAGGAAACTTGGAAGAAACGCCTTTTTAATTGGTATAAACATTGTGTTATTACATTTAGAAAGCCATAATTCCAGTGTTTCTAGAAAGACTTGGCATCTCTAAAAATAGTTATATGGACTTCATAAAAAGAGATAGATTTTTTTGCTTTCTGATCTTATGAGTTGTTTTGATTAGTAAGGCCAAGTTTGAACACAAAAGAACTATAATAAAACATTCTTTGACTATTAAAATAATTCTCCCAAAGCCTATATTAAAGCTTTGCAGATTTCAGGAAGGTATAGCCTGTGAAACTGTGCCAGAGGTAAACACAGTTGTGAGTGATATGTTGCTGTGAAACCCTCTTGGATGAAAATAATAAACTTTGGATATTAGAATACTTAATTTATTGGATGTCAGTGCCTCCTGCCTGTTTGTCTTCCTAAGCTTTCGGATTGAGACCTAACTGTGATGATCCTGCTCTATTCTTTGAAGCTCAACTCCTGTAAACAGAAAGAAGGGATTATTATAGTGAATATTTGGCTTTGAGTTAATTGAATGTCTAATTTCCAGTGGTGTTGAACTTGGCTGGCTACCCATGTAGTTATAATATACAAAGCCTCTGAAAACATATGGGTTCTCAAATAATGGCATGCTTTTTCCCCTGATTTTTTTCCCCAAATGGTATTTTTGTTCTTTCCTTACTGTCTACTTCAAACAAATTTTATACAGTTTTATAATTCCTTTAACATATGGCTACTGCCTACCAGTTCCTTGTTTGCATTGGCAAACAGCCACATGCACCACTGAAGAATGATTTCCTGGATGAGTTTTCAAGAACTTTCCTTTATCCATATTTCTACCTGTGTTCAACTTCTTAACATAGAGTTAGATTAGACAGTCCTCTCTTCACCCTCCTTCTGTCTCCCTCCTTCCCACCTCTTCCTGTTTTGTTACTATAGTCTTCTTTTAGCCTAGGCAGAGTGTTTTATGCTGTTAGTAGTGTTATTAAAGGTTTTTGCTAACAATAAGAGTATAAAACTTGTTCAAGTAATCCCATGTGCTTCTTGCTTTTGACATCTATGAAGTCCTTGCCTGTTATTTTTAAATTATGAGTAGGGAACACCCCCCCCCTTTTTTTTAAATTTTGTACTTCTGCCTGTTCAAAAATCCTTAGAGCAAAAAATGTGTTGGCTTTGTAAGCCTTATTACCCCTATTGAGAGCTCATGTGGATATCTGTTTTGGAAAAACACATTTTACTTAGCATTAATTGAGATGTGGTCCAGACAAACACATTGATGCAAAGGAGGTAATTTGGAAGGAACAAATGCTTTGAGATAAAGACAAGTTAGACACAACAAGAAGTGTATTCTTGAGATATCAGTAGTCAAAGAAGCAGGGACCAGGACCAGCTTCCTCTAAGCTGAGGATACTCGACCTCTCAAATCTTAGATTTTTTTTTCTCTGTTTCTAACCAGTTTCTCACCAGTAGCCAGGAGGAGGCTGCTTCGTCCCAGGAGGTGATGCTGGGAAGTTGAGAGGAAGCTGGCTGAGAAGAACAGAAAAAGCACTAGAAGATCAGAACCACCTGTTTGTGGTTTTACTTCTTTGCTGTTAAAGGCCTCTTGTGGTCCTCTTTGTGTACAGGCATTGTAACACACATACTATTTCTGATTCATACTTACACTCTAGTCCAGAGTGTAAATAAGAGAGAAATTTTTACAAGCATATAACTATCTTGCAATAGAGAAAAATCTGTAAGGAGTGAAATATACTTGTATGATGACTTTATATACATGTATGAAAATACATGTGCATGTGCACACATAACTGTATTTATGTGTATTGTATATACATATAAGCACACTGTATATTAGCTGTTCAAATGGAACCTGGATATCCATTATAGATTTTATTGGGTTATTTGTGGAAATAAATGTAACATCTCAGTATACTTATATGTTATAGTGAGAGTCTTTAAATATCAAAACTTACTGCTAATAAATTGGATTAAGGTACAAGCTTAATGAGAAAGTAATGTATATTTGCTATTGATGTGGTTGACTGCCAATGGGAAAATTATACATTCAGAGAGAATTTCCATATTGGTTATAAATTGCGAACAGCAGCAAAGACTCTAAGTGTTCTGTACAACTTTAACAATGTCTTGACCCTAACTCTCTTCCTAGTCCTAGAAGTTTCTTTCATAGACTTTCTGCTATGAAGAAGATACAGTCAGGTGAACAGCCAAAAGAATCAACACGGCTTAGTCTACTCCGTTCAGATAGGCATCGGGCTCTCTGGGAAGATCGGTAGAAGGGCCTAGGGGGATGTCTGCGATTATTGGTGGGGACTGCTCCCTAGACTCACAGCCAGGAACCACAGCAGGATCTCCCTCATTGTCTGGAGATGGTGAAATATCATATTTTGCCTCTACTACAGCTAGGGAGTCCTGGGCTGGGGTCAGTGAGGCCTGACTAGAAACCTTTGCCTCTGGCTTTTGGGGCCTTGGGCCTGGAGCGTTCCTGGCAGGGAGGCCCCGGCTTTGGAGCTCTGCCTCTCCAGAGGTACAGCAGGCTGTACGGGCAGATGCACCCTCACAGACCCTGTTGGCCTCACCCTGAAAACCCACATGGGGCCGAGGACTCCCTGACGCAGTAGAAGGATTGGGATGGTTTAAATGGGCTGGTTCAGGATGCTGGGGGGTGAGGTCACTTCCACTTCGAGGACCATTTACTGCCGGTTGTCTTTCATTTGATTGGTCTGGGGTGAACTCTGAATGATGAAGGATGGTAAAAGCTGTGGCCAGGTTTTTCACAGCGGTTTGAACACTGTTGGCTTCCTCTGCATCCATCTCTTTATCTTCGGTGATGTTTGACTCTGGCTCTTCGTCAGAGGTGTGCTGAACCTGGTCTTCTTTTTCAGACATTTTTGCTTCTCTGATTTTCTTGTAGAGTTCCTTTCTCTCTTCTTGTAAAGCACGACACAGATTCTCCAGCCTCTGTATTTTCATCACGAAACACTCGTATTCCTTAGCTCGTAGGGCTTTCTGTGACATAAACACACACACACACACACACACACACACACACACACACACACACAAAACATGAGCAGTGAACTTTCCAGGATGCTATCCAGAAACAAAACTATTCATCCTAGAGTTTGCCTACTACATTTGAACAAACATTTAGGGACATCACTTTGTTTTTCTGATGTTTTGATTATTAGACTAGTAGAATTTTAATTGTCATTGCCTGTTCTTTGGGAAAGAAATCTGAAGAGAATTCTTTCCACTCAAAAACAAACAAACAAACAAACAAACACCTCTCAAATCTTAACCTACATGAATTTTCTGTTTCTAAAAATTGGAAGGTATAGGCAACATCTTCTGTGAAATAAGTAAGCTGGGACTTTACTCTCAGTGGGGTGTTATGTATTCTAGGAAATATGTCTTCTTGATAGAACTGTTATATGCTAATCCCAGCAGCCATCTGATGCGTGTTGATGAGTCATGAACACATCTTGGGAACTGGTTTCAACTTGGCATGAGTAGTTAAAGTAGTCATTATAACCACAGAAACTCACCACATACCAAGTCATGATGTTGGCTGCTTAAATGGTTCAGTTCTTCTTTTCTCTAGTAATAGTGGTGTGTGTGTAAGCAGGGACCTGCCCCTAATCATCTCACTACTGATTTCAAGACCCCCTTTACTCGTTAACATGAAAGGATCTTCACTTGTAAGTCCTGTCTCTCAAATCAGAGCTTATATACCTTTGCTTTTAGAGTTGCAAAACCTGTAGGTCCTGACATGACATCAGCTACCTAATACCTGTTGGAGGAGTTTTTTAAAAGATTCCCTCATATCTATCTGTAAAATACCCTATATGTGCTGGCATCTTCTCTCAGCACAGTCAAACCAATGCATTAAGTGTACTTGCTGGGTGCCAAACAATAAAGGTCCGAGGTCAAGTAAGACCTTCATGACAATCTTTTATAGTCCAGAAGGCATAGTGCCACTCTGGGGTCAGCATTCTACCTAATAATCCTGTGACTAAGGTTTACAAAGATCTTCGACTCTTCTTTAGACTTCTAAATATCTCTTGACCTTATTCTTTGTATTATATTTTAATATGTCCTGTCTCCCTTGAAATTCAGCCTATTTCCAAATATAATCACTAATGCTGTTAGGTTATATTGATTATTTTTGACAGGGTTAGGGAAAGAAGAGCTTCCTTACCTCTTCGATCATGTCCAACAGGGCTTTGTTACAATTCTCAAATCGGGCTTTCCATGTGGCTGTATCCTTCTCCAGCTTCTTCATTTTCTTAGTCGTCTAGAGAAATTAGAGTGTTTTAAGTGTTAATCCTAAAGCGCTAATGTATCAAGGAGGCAATTAGTTCCACATGTGACACCAAGGTCAATCCTCTTGCTACCAGCTACTGAAGCAAACAAATACTCAGTGTCAACAATGAAGATTGCTGAAGAGGAATGATTTATTTCCGAGTCCTCTCGATTGGTAACAAACAAACTCGTTTGCACTGGAGCCAATTCAGGAAGAAGGAAACTACTTAGGAGCATATTATGGTGTTGTCAACTTTTCTTTCATTTAAAATAAATTTAAAAAAATCCTTACTGAAACCTGTAAATAAGCTTGCAATTTAGGTAATTTGATCAAATAGAAGGCTATCACCGTGAGAGAGTTAACATTGCTTTGGGGCATTAAGCTGCAGATAATAATTTGTGTGCACACAAAAGCTGATTGCCACCTTTTCTTTACTCATGTTTGTAGGTTGAAGGTGAGCTCACAGGAGGTGATGTTTACACAATCATGTCATCCCTGAAACAGTCCCAAGACAAACACCCCATTTTCATCCCCATTTTATAAATGAGAAAACTGAGGGTCAAGGACATGTGTTAATATCCAAGTGGATTAACAAAAGAGTCAGGCTAGAGATACCTCATTTTCTATCAAAAATGAATGTGGGTTACATTCATACTCTGTTTTGAGTAGATTATTGGCTATTATTTATTATAGGGTCTCTTCTCTGTGTAAATTGAAGGGTGAAACTCTTAGTCAGGTATTGTGTAATTTCACAAGCCACACCTAGGTGCTTGTTTCTTTTTTACTTTTATTTCAAGTATCTTGAGACAAAGTTTCATTCTGTAGCCCTGGTCAGAATGAAACAACACCAACAAACTGGGATGCATGTTTGTGTAGCTGTGAATATGGTCCTGAATCTTGTACCAAATTATTAAAGTTAACCTCTTAAACTTTACAAATGCCTAATCTAACTAACATGTGATCCAAACAAGAACTCCATTCAAGGCCCATCTAGCTCCAAGAAATTATAGTCTGGGCTCAGCCTCTGGCCTCAGTGTGTACCTCAGACAGCTTTGCTCAAGAAACAAGCACATAGCCAGGCATGGAGACACATAACTTTAATCCTAGTACTTTAGGAAGCAGAGGCAAGCAGACCTCTGTGAGTTCCAGGACAGTCTGGTCTACACAGCAAGTGTGTGTGTGTCTGTGCGTCTGTGTATGTGTGTCTGTGTGTGTGTGTGTGTGTGCATGCATGCATAGATGTGCATGTAGACATATCCATGCTCTGCTGTACTTGTGGAAGACAGAAGACAACATTTAGGAATCAGTTATCTTTGTGTACCTTGCTTTGAGGCAGGGTCTCTGGCTCATCGATGTGCTTCCTATGCTAGGCCAACTGGCCTAGGAGCTTCTGGACTATTCTACTGCTTCTGCCTTCCATGTTGCTCATCCTGATATAGCTTTTCACATGGTTTCAGGGATCTAAACTCAGGTCATCAGGGTCCCTACAGCAAGTCCTTTCACCCTCTGCCCATAGAGGCAGAATATTGATGCTGATTTTCTATTAGGAAGATGCTAAACTGAATAAAATGTTGATGTTATGCCCATTGATAATATTTGTACCTTTTATTTATGAAAGATCTGCAAAACCCTTAATGCACTAATTTATTTGAACTTCATAGTTTTGTGAGTTATGCAAAATATCAGTTTATAGATAAGAAAAATAAAACTCAAGAAAGGTTCATAAATGGCCCAAGAGTCCTTGGTGGAGAGTTACAAATGTAGAATTTAAGCTTCCTGTTCTGTCTTCTTATGCAGGGTTCCATCAACTGAATTGCATGAGAAGGTCTATCAACCCTAATGTTGTATTTTTAGGTTTAAATGGTTTTTTTAACCATATGAAGGTTAGGCCTTTGACATGTAACGCTAGCTTCTTTTAAAACTAGCTATCGAGAAAAAAAAATATTGTTCATCTTAGTGAAAATGTATCCTAGCATTTTGGGACCATTGATCAGATTTATTTAATGGAAATTTTTTAAAATGACAAAATTCCACTGAAAGTCTCATTTCTGCCTATAAAAATTGCATCACATCGTGAAATGCACTGGAGTATCTTAGCCAGAGAAAACTGAATGCAAAGACCTGCCTGTCAAAACACAAATGGCCAATATTCATAGATAGAAAATATTCACCTTATCCATTTCCTGCTTGAAAGTGGCAAACACTTCATTGCTTTTTGTCAGTGTGCTCTGGAACTCCTCAAACCTTCCCGAGTAGAGAGTGAGCTGTAAACAGAAGAAAGAGTACATCTATTTTGGGGCTGTTCTCTGATTGCTTCTAGAAAGAAAAAAGAAATCAACAAAACAAATACCAAAAAAACATGTCACTGTTCAGTATTTGAGAAGAAAAATGAGTTAAAGATACTGTTGGTACAGGGTTAG